TTATATACAAAATGGTGTTAAAGGTAGAAAGGTACAGCATGAAACCTAGGATACAAATCAGATTTGTGTGGTGCGATTTAACATAATACCTGTTGCCAAATAGATGATGTGGTAGAGCGCATCTTTTCCCTGCACAACATCCACAGCAACGTGAGAAAAACGGACATTATCCTCCATGAAGTAGGGCACAGGGACGATGGGCTGAACCACTTCATGCATCAGGATGAACTTCTGAGCATCTTGTAGGTTCCTCTCGGTTAGGTTCACATAGGAGCCATAATCTATTGTCCCACACTGAAGAAGAGAGAGAGAGAGAGAGAGAGAGAGAGAGAGAGAAAAATCACAAAATATGAAATAAATCATCATATATTGACACTTTAACAAGCCAAGTAGAGCACATTTCAAAAAACAGAGACAACAGAAGAGCAATACACAATACAAGAACAGGCATTAAACACATATTTATACACCGCAGACTTTAATGCTGACTCATCGGCCTACGATATAAAGATAAAGATTGGTTTGAAAGTACCTTAGTCAGCTTTACTGAATGTCAGCTCAATATTTCAGCCTGTAGCACCACAGTAACAGCACATGCTTTGGCATCGGTTAAGATTCCTATTTAGTGAACTTTCTGACTGCCACAGAGTTCAGAAGTGAAAATCTCATTGGATTAATGAAGAAAGTGTCAATGCATGTTAATAATAACATGATGATCAGTCAATCATGAGGCAGCTGTGCAATGCATAAAAATCTTGCAGGCCATAAGCTTCATGTGTTCACATGAAACACCAGAATGGGGAAAATATGATTTCAGTGATATGTTTGTTGGTGCCAGATGGGCTGGTTTGAGTATTTCATAAACTGCTGATCTCCTGGGATTTTCATGCATGAAGTCTCTAGAGTTTACATAGAATAGTATGAAAAACAAAAAATCCTGCAGTTCTGCAGATGGAAACGCCTTGTTGGTGAGAGAGGTCAGAGGAGAAAGGACAGACTGGTTCGAGCTGACAGGAAAGTTACAGAAACTCAAATAACCACTGTTTACAACCATTCTGAGCAGAAAAGCATCTCAGAACACACAATGCATCAAACCTTGAGGCAGATGGGCAGCAGAAGACAACATCGAGTCCTACTTCTGTCACCAAAGAAAAAGATACTAATCCGAGGTACCTTATTAGTGTCTATTGTATTTTAAGACTTTTAATGGGCTTGATATTATATCATATCTGCTCATGCGAGCATTACAGGAGCATTGAAGATTTTTTTTAGTCCCAAGGCATACCTACATCATAGCTTACACACTACAACAGTGCTGCTTTCTGCATTAAACTACTGCCAGTCAGGCCTGACTTCTCTTTTCATATTTCCTCACTGACTTCATGTGAACCTAGGGCAAAACAAACACCTGAATAATGATTTCAGTATTTGAATACTGGCACCTCAATCTGTTAACCAGATAATCCAATAACCGTTCACATCCCTAGCTGTTAGTGGAAGCAGACCTGATGGATAAGGTCAAACTATTCCACAGCCTGAGGCTGATAATGAAGAAAGTGCAATCAGTCTTGAACTTTAACCAGGACCATGGAACAGACATGAGTAATTGGTTGGAGGAAGGAAGAGGCCTTACAAATAAATCAATCAGGAGAAACTGAATTATCTTGGGATTGGGGCAATGGATGTGGCTGCAGTGTGTCACATACTATAGAGTGAATTAGTTCTATGTCATTCTCAAAATAGTTTATCATAGGGAAACCCTTAGGGCCTTCTAGACCTTCACAAAAGACCTGTGGAACTTCTGTCCATAATTTTAGATCATTTTTTTATTTTATAGAATCAGCATTATTTACTTTAATTCTTGCAGCTTAGTAGTAGTCTTATACAGTATATTACAGTTTAATATTAGTTGGAAAATAAAAGGGCTAAAATCTTTGAAAGGAATGCTATCCAATCAGGATTGTTTTCTTTGTGCTATCTGAGTGGATACAGACAAGAGCTCATCCACTGATTTGGACAGAAAGACTTACACCTTATGATCAACCACTGACATAATTATAGGAATTTACAACAGAGACCACCAAACATATTTTTGATTTCCAGTGGGTAGATGTTTCGTGAGAAAGAAACATCTATCATTCCAGGCTTCTAGAAAGCCAACATTTTTCTATGACTAGCCATAAAATGGCCTTGATTTATGCAATCACACATTTTATAGAATTAACAGCCAATTGCCATGTCTGTGCTGAGAGCATAAGTCTTGGGGTCACTGAACTAGCTAGTCATGTGTCCATTAGAGCAGACATTAAATATTCTTTTTTGATTATATTTCTATTATAATTTTCTCATAATGATCCATGATTACATTTATTCCAGTGCTATAATGACAGAGGGAAGACGGGCAGAAATGTTTGTGGAGTTGCTGTCAGTGAAGCTAAAATGAAGATAATTAGTAATATCCTGTCAGTGCCAATGTTAGCGCTGACTCATTGGTGCATTATTTAACCAATTAACCAAATGCCTAGAGCCAGGAGAGTTTCTCCAGTTGTAGATACAGAGCTGTCATCTATACACAGAAATACCTTTGATAAACAATTTCCTCTGTCCTTCCCTTATTCCCTTTCATTTCCATATTGTTGTTAAAAGCAGAACAACTTCCACACTTGAATGAGGACAGGGTTCAATGATACTGTCAACCTGTGTACTTCAGCCAAAGTGTATAAAAAAGCACGGACACAAACAGCACCAGCGGGCTCTAACGGCTTCACATCAATCATAAATTGTGCCATCAAACTTAATGGGCTTATGTCATAACCATAATTGCATGTTTCTCATAGATTCTACAAGTCTCTGGAACTGTACAAGAGCAAGGAACATTATTCTTCCATTTGGTGTTTTGATGATGGTGGTGGATAGCACTGTCTATCACATCCATCCAAAATTTCTCATAGGTATTCAACTGGATTGAAATCTGGTGACTGTGAATGCCATAGCATAAGATTTACATCATTTCCATCCTCATCAGACCATTCAATGAACCCTCGTGCCCTGTGGATGGGGGCGGGGTTATCCTAGAAGAGACCACTCCAATCAGGGTAGAAATGTTTCATCATAGGATTGATTTGCAGTGATACTTTGCTGTAAGGATACAAGTGGACCCAATTCAGGCCAAAAAGTACCAAAATGCATAACATAGCCACCAGGTTTTCATTTAATTTGTCAAAATTCTCTAGGTGTAAATGGTGCAACAGTGGCAGAAAAAGATTTTAGGACAACACTGTTAGTAGATTGTTTATCAGATCCTCCCTTTTCTGCTCAGGGACAGTATGATCCACTTTGAACTGACTGTCTACAATGTGGAAAATTCTTATCCTTATTACCCCTTAATTATAATAATGACAATTCCCTTTTTATATAGTGCCTCTTCTGCACTTTACATAAAAAGGACACAAGAAACACAAACTGAAGAAAACAATACAGAAAAAACAGTCAGCTAATGTGAATTGGAAACTTTTATTGACTAGCACTAAGAAACTAAAACATCTTTTGTGCTCTATTCAGATCTTTCAAAGTACAAATCAATCTCCAGATTGCCAGATGCTCAGCTAAGCCACGGACTGACTCTTTGGGAGCCTATTTGTGAGCATCTGATGTGGCAGTCTTAAGGCAACTAGGTAAGGAGAGTATTACTGAGCACCACAGGAGCCTCCATCACCCTGATTTAGAGGTGTGCATTAGGGGTGGGAACACAAAGTTTGCGGGAGCTGTTTTTATTTTCATGTAGGTAGGAGCAGATGGGCCGATATAAAGCTTGTAGGATGAAAAAAGGCCATATTGATTAACATGTGAGTGTATTGGACATGGCATGGTGCTTGTGTGGTGCTGTGTAATGCATTTACTGTGTTTATTCATTCATCTTCAGTATCTTCGGATGTGGGGAGCAAAACTGTAGATGAATGAAACTTCAGGGTCACTGTGGATTAAATACATACACACACACACACACATATATATATGTGTATGTATATTTTGGGAAATAGAGCCGATTAAGTTCATTAAAATGTTGCAGGTAGGTAAATGCAAATAAAAAAATATCTGTGGGAGCAGTCAGAATTGATCAAACTTTATTCAAGAAAATACAGGATTGGTCAGAATTCCCCTGGGTGCAGGCGAAAGTCGGCACACACTTCTACCCTGATTTATTCTTCACTTTCTCGGGCTGGACAGCCTCAGGTCCTGAAGGTGACCACCAGAAGGATTAAAGAGCTGTAAAGGTTTAAAAGCCAGGGTGTTCTAGCAAACGGAGCTTTATTCCTTTTATTAAGCTGCAGCAACCATGAGACAAAGATGAGATTTGTTAATAATCAGTTATTCTTTGAATCATTAAGAGGTAAAAATTAACACTGTATAATTACAGGCTGTACTAAACTAACTTTTTTAGCAAAATGTAACTTTATTTACAAAACATCCTCTACATGATTGCCATTTCTTTGTAAATACACATGGAGTTGTCTCTCCCACTCATGATGAATTCGTGTTAACACAGCTGGTGTTATGCCTATAATTGCATGTCCATCGCAACCTTGTGACAGCTTCCCGATCCAGCCATGAGAATCATTTCAATACATTCTTCTTTTGTCAAAAGCATTCTTAAAGGCTATCTAAAAAATATATAAACTAAGTATGAAAAATTTTGGAAGACATTTTGCTAAAAAGTGTTAATTTCCCCTATGTATGGAGACTTTTGGGACACCCTGTATTGTGTAATACATTATCAAAGAAACGATATAGATGTCCATGGTCCAGATCATGACTATGCCCCACTCCCAGTGCAAACTGAAAGGTCTTGAAAGATCTATATGGGTCTTAGGGGTTGCCACAGCAGATCATTGGTCCACATATTTGATTTGGCACACACCAGACGCCCTTCCTGATGCAACCCTCCCATTTTATCCAGGCTTGGTAGTGGCACTGAGTGCAACCCCCTGTGGCTGGGTTGGTTCCCTGCCTGGGAACTGAACCCTGGCTGCAGTGATGAGAACACAGGATCCTTAGACACTAGACCACCAGGGAACAGTATGCAAGAGAAAGTAATTTTTTAAAAATGTTTTGTTGTCACAATCGCTGGCAAGCTAGTCAGTCATGACTTATTGTTACTAACTGTAGTGTTTTATATTTTAAACTATAGTAAGTAAGCTATAGGTAAGCTCACCAGTTGCCGCAACCACATTTTTAATTTTGTGTCAAAACAGCCTAAAGAGTCTTGTGAGCACAGAGGCCATTTGTTGTTCCCTTTGGAAGAGCCATTTGAAATAAATGTTTGGAATCACTTCCGTTTGGAATGACCCTACATGTCCCCCCATTTTGAGGAGCCCTGTGTTGGCTTCATTACTTCTGGAATGGAATCCAGCTGTAAATACAAACTAATGAAGGGAAAACACAATCAGTGGTGGAGCCAATCAGGAGAGAGGCGAGAGAATGAGTTAACAAAAACAGGAGGCGTTAATCAAATGATGTCATGACAGTTTGAAAATTGAAACAAATGATATGTGAACAAGATGTTCATATAAGATCTCTCACACAGTTTAAATAGATTTGCCTCAGTTTTAATTAATGCATCCTAGACACATGGAAATAACTTCTGAAAAAAGTACAAGCTGATTTACTAACAGCAAAATAGCACGTGTTTCCTGATTTTGTATGTTTGCTTTAATGAAGATACAATAATGAATGTGAATAGAATATAATAATATCAATTTGGGTTGTTTCTAACAAAAAGTGCAAACTACAAGGCAGAGTCAATGCCACTAATGCCATTAATATCAATATCATATTGATGTAAATACGTCAATTTAGCAACTGGAAAAATGAATCACTAAGCCTGAGAGTCACTTCAGGCACATAAATTATACAATTCACTAGGTTTTAATATTGAGAAGATTTATTAAGATATTAAGTATTCCCTTGAGGCAGGAATACACCATGGATGGAACGCCAATCCATAGCAGGGCACCATGTACAGACAATCACACATTCATTCACACCTGGGGAAGTTTGGCATAGCCAATCCACCTACCAGCATGTTTTTGGGGGGTGGGAGGAAACCCACATGGACACAGGAGAACATACACAGAAACTCCACACTGACAGCAACCTGACCTCACTACTCTCTACATCACCATGCCACCCCACTATAATATTTCGAGGCAGAGACAGGAATCATGCTGGCATTACAACACAAATTTCTACTCCTGATTGAGTGTAGGACATTTCAGTTAAGCGTCCTGCTTTCATTTCTGGTCTCTGTGTAATCAACCTCAATCAGTGAAGAAATAATTTCACCAGTGCACGCTCCATGTTGCTCTTTCATGCTTGGAACAGACAGCTACTAGTTTTACATCAGTGCAGGAAGCCATAAATTCGAGGCTCGTAAATCTTTGCTCTCCGATGCTGACAAATTCTTGATGAAGATGTCACGGAGGCTGAGATAAAGTGAGGCTCGAGTGCTCGCCAAACAGCAAACCCCCTCCCAGGAGAGAAGTTTTTTTTTCCTCTGCATGTCAGCTGCTGCAACTCTATTATCTCCTCAGACAGGATTCTCAAATTCAGCTGATCCAGTACAAAAAAATTAATACATGCTGAGGAGACACTTTTATTTAAAAGGGAGTCAAAAAGCATATGAGGAGGCTCAGAGTCTCCAGATGGCCACGGGTCTCAGAGCGAATTAAAGTGCATTAAAAGGCTCAGCGTCAGCTGAGTTAGCCGACTTGCTATCATTCAACTCCTGCCATTGAGCCCTAGTGCTTTACACACACACTTTTCTCCAAACCATCATTCTAAATCCCAGAGTCCCTCCAGTCTGACTGTGAGAGAACACTGATTTTCAGGAGAAAATTAAGGGCACTTCTCAAGCAATCATTGTAGTTAAATGATCAGAAACAGCAGAACATGGATGTGGCCTTTTTATTAGGCACTTTGTCATTGTAAATTTACTGCTACCAGGTTTTATAAGGTGAGAAACTTATTAAAACATTTCTCAGTGTTCCGAGAGAAATGTTCCTGGGATAGGCTTCGGATCCACTGTGACCCTCCACCAACATAAATCGGCTACTGAAGACGAATGAATGAATTATAATGAGAAATTCTCTCTAGCAAAGTGTTTGCATGCTAATCATCCTGGAGTCAAAATACAACCAATGGTGGTGCTTTACATTAAGGTTTCCTTAACAAACATTATTTACTGCATTAGTTAACAGTGATAAACCATAAGAAATTATAATTAATGTTAGCAAAGCAATTGTTTGTGTTAATTCATGTTTTTTAAATAATGAACCAAATATGCCAAATGATAGATAATTACACCATCCATGAGTAATAATAAGTCAAATATTGCAATGACTAATATGAATTAATGCCTTAATAATTATGTTTGTGGTAAAAAAAAAAAAAAGTCATAAATGATGCTGAATGGTGGGTACCAATAGTTAAACTTGGAGACCTGGGTTCAACTGATTATGAACATGCCATAATTTAATTTATGTCAATTTTGTGGCTGAATATACTGTAGGTAACATTTAAACCAACATCAAGTAGTACATTCGTTAACTTACTTTATTACTGTGTTAACAATATTGACAGTGTAATAATTTTGATGTTTACAGGTTGTTAATGTTAAATGATGCAGTAAATAATGTTAGGTAAGGAACCCTTAATGTGCTACATAATCGAAATTCACCTCATAAAGAGCCACGTTCCTAAAAACAATCAGGCCAGACATAAGGCTGTAAAAGCAGGGATTAAGGGACGTCTTGCCCTAATTGACTCAATTAAGAAGCTAAGACACACAACCGAAGCCAGACGGAGTTGTGTGTACTGAAAGGTTAAAATGGTCTGCTCTGACATTTTGCATTCCTTTTTGCATTAATTTAATGCTCTTCGGCATTTAGCTGCCAGTAGTTTCCAAAAGTCAAGATCAGGACCTGGTTTATTATACTAATTATCAAACTAATGCAAAGCTTAAGCAACTTCAAACATGCCATCAGTCATTTTAAAAAAGAATAATTAATGAGATGGGGGGTGTTAAAATGATCTGGGGAGTACAAATGTAGCTGTGAAGATAAAATCCATAAGAAGCAGTTATAACTAGACTACAACCCCACAATAAACTCAGATTAACTCCAGACATCCTTTACTACCAACCCTGATTATCATTTTCTGTGTTTTGTTCCTTTAAGCAAAGTCCACAGATCTTGTTGTCGTGGTTGAGTTCTCTTTTCTGAAGCTTAAAACTACAATATGAATGTATGATATAAAAAGGTCATTCGAGTAGAGTGGTTTATTCAAGTTTATGAATGTTCATGAAGGACTCTATTTTTGTGATCACAGTACACATACAAAAGAAAGGTATAACATTAGGGATTGGGGTATTTTTGGTATCCGGGTGACCAGCGGTACAGGTGGTATTGTAGCACAGAGAGGCACAAATGTAAAACAGGGTGTGGATTAAATGAATTATTACTATGATCTAATACTTGATCTTGTACTATGACCTAATAAATACTATTCAGGAGGGGTTTAACGCAATGCCATTATCTGCATCTGTATCTGTTTAGTACTCTAAATATCCATATCTGTATCTGTATTCAGATTTTAAACCCAAAGTGGGCGTGGCCTATACTGGAAGGCCCCTGAAACACTGGAAAAAATCCAGAGGTAGAAATGGCAGAAACAGAAATGTGTGAATTCCAGCTCTGACAGTTCCTCACCCTCAGCTACATCACTCGAGATCTTAATTGGTCTCAACTAGGGATGTGCACTGGACTGTTTGTTGTGCACTTCCTTATTTTTGTTTGCACCTGTCCACAATATCTTCCATTTCCATTTTTACCAAAATATAAGCAAATTAATATTCTCATTTAAATCACTGCCACCCTGACCAGGCACTTATGATGGATGCTGTAAATGCATTGCATATCACTGCACGTTCATATTAATAAATGTGTTCTTTCTTTGTCTTGAGCTTCACATCTGACTGCTAACTTACATGTGCATGAAAGTAAAAACCTTCTTTTAGTTTTCCACATGAATGCAGTCCCAATACACACCACAGGTCTCAACCAGATGCCAAGTGAACCCTTCTGGCAAGCTTTCTAAAAAAATTAATAGTGTGCCTCCTATTTGTGTATGTATTTGTATCTGTTTAGAACACATTACCTACACGGTTATATCCCAAATATATCATAATCCAGAAGATTAGTATAGAACAGACTTGTAATTTGATTTGATTAACTTGATTAATTTGATCAACTAACCGTTTTGCATCCATTTAACGTATACAATAATGCTGAACTGCGATTAGTGCTATCTAATGGTAGCTTGCTACCGATACCAGCAGTGTTTGCTGTGCTATGTGTGTTTTAAATTTAATGTGCAGTTAATTATGGTAGCTGTTATTGGTAGCCATGTTGGTTCTGATTATTTACTGCAAGTTCCTACCCATCCTTTATATGGTGCACGATGGGACTAGTTACTGCAAATATAGACTTTGAGACTTCATTTGATTCAGCAAATAAAGTCCACAAAACTGCACTTATTAGTTTGTAAAAGTTATAGAATTTGAGATGCAGCTATTGGTTTCTTAAGAGCTCTTGGAAGTGGACTTTAGAACTTAACTGCATTGTGCCTGAGTTTGCTGATTTCTCACCTGGAAGTCCGGGTTGGGGTTTGGATAAGGAAGCCATGCTGAACGTGAGTTCTCTTGGTATTTAAAAGGCCCACTGAACACTTGGGTAATGGCGCTCAGGTTGAAGGCACACACTGCCGAGGCAGCAATGCTGTTCCTGAGGGAGAAAAGAGACAGAGAGGAGTCTCAGACACCCACTCATGCACACCCACTCACACGCTGTCCATTATCAGTACATCAGAGGCTCTAATGTGAAAAAATGGGCCTGTCTGCTGCTGGCTCTCACAAAAAGCCACATTTTAGGACCATTAAACACAGAGAAACCTTAGTGTCTTTACATCGAAGATTGACGTTCACTAATATTCAAATCATTTTGCATTCATTCTTTACT